ATGGAGGAAATTCTATTTTCAAATCACTTTCGGGCAATTCTGATTTGAATTTGCTGGATGTGAGACAAAACAATTAGAATATTTTCAAGATATGATAACACTATCGAAAAAGTAATTAATAGATCACAAAACTTACGATATGTAGCCTTTCAGCTCATCCTCATCACAGTTGTTTAGTACAAACCAATGCAATGATTTTTTGGCATCTTTACAAAGTTCGGCGAGCTTCTTAGTGGACATCGGTCGACATTGTGATGAGAACACAGTGAATTGCCTTTTTGGAAGGCCAGGATCCTCATTTCTATCAACACGATTGAATTTGGTTTGCATACCCTCAAGATACATAGAGCAGAATGTCAAAGCTTCATCTGCAACATAACCCTCTGCTATTGAGCCTTCTGGCTTAGCTTTGTTTCTGACATAATTTTTAAGTTTTTTCATGTATCTTTCAAAAGGATACATCCATCTCATATGTATAGGCCCTTCAAGAATGGCTTTTTCAGGTAAATGAAGAATAAGATGAATCATGATGTCAAAAAATACTTGAGGATATATCAACTGAAGATTTGCATAAAATCTTCACCACTTCTTTTCTGGCATTTCTCATGTCGTTAACATCTAATGACCGTGCACAATTTTTTTTGAAGAATGTACACAAGTCAATGATTGTTGTTGAAACATTTTCTGGGAGAAATGCTTGAACCCCTATATATGCAGAAATTGTTGCATGAGGATGTGATGATCGTGAGACTTTAGCCCAACCAAATTTGATGCAGTATCATTCACCTTCTTATTAAAGTTCGATCCAAAACCATCAAGTAGCCTCACTCATTTAATGAATTGACAGAATCGTTGTCGATCAATTGATTTAAAAGAGTAATCAGCATGCGGTAGTATTATTTTCTTCTTGTTGTCTTCCTTATTATTATTGACTTTCTTCCTCTTGTTGACTTTCTCTTTTGGCCACTGATGTGGCCGGATGCCCATATTTTTCAAGTCTTCTCTTGCCTCTTTTTTGTCTTTGGTTTTTTCATTCATCAATGCAGTATTTACAAAACTCTCATCCATATTTTTCTACACATGCATAAAATCTATATTGTGTTTTAGCTCGAAGGAAGACCAATACTCAAGCTCAAAAAGATACTACGTTTCATCCAATTCAACTCTTTTTTTCTTGTTTCATCATTGCGCTTTCTTGTTGCACCCCCGTGCTTAGGATGTTTCCCTGGAATACGATTAGGGAGACAAGCTAATTGCTTTAATATAGCTGTATTGCTAAATCGTCTTGGATGTGGCATTCTCTCAGGTTGACCATTAAACAATAAACTTTGCCTCCACTTATGGTTCATATGCAAGAATCGTCTATGACCAACATAAGACATCTTGTTGGTGACATGAATGGAAGATGTGTCTGCGTTACAAGTAGGTCATGCTAAATAACCTTGACCGCTCCATCTAGACAAACTTCCACACGCTGGAAAATCGTTGATAGTCTATAACAACATCGCACGCATGTTGAATACGGTGTTGGTTGACGCATCTCTCATTTCGACTCCTTCAGACCACAACATTTTCAACTCATCCACCAAAGGCCTCAAGAAAACATCAATGTCCTTTGATGGTGATTTAGGGCCAGGAATCAACAAAGTTAGCATGAAAGAAGACACTTTCATACATATCCATGGTGGTGTAATGTAGGTAGTTAATATAACCGGCCATGTACTATAAGTACTATTAAAGTTGCCGAATGGATTAAAGCCATCAGCAGCCAAACCTAGACGAACATTTCTAGGTTCTTTAGCAAACTCTGGATATCTTTGATCAAAATCTTGCCATGACTTCCCATCAACCAGATGACACATCATACCATCTATTGAGCGTCCAGTATTATGCCAACTCATATCTTTAGCTGTGAATCTGGAGCTATACATTCGTCGAAGTCTTGGAGTCAAAGGAAAGTATCGCAACACTTTTTGTGGTACTTTTCCCCCCTTTGTAGTTGTGTCCACCCATCTACTCTCCTTACAAATCCGGCTATTTTGCATGGAACCGTTCTCCTTCCAAAACAAAGCACAATCATTTTTGCAAGCTGGATCGATTGATATCCTAACCCTATCTTTCTTAACTTATTTTTAGTTTCATAGTGTGAAGCTGGAATCTTGCTCTTCGGGAAAGCAGATCTTAGTAACTCTACAAGTTGATCAAACGAACTATTTGTCCATCTATTGATCACTTTAATATGCAACAACTTTGCCAAAAAGTTTAAGGCAGACATATCGCTACATTCAGGGTATAACTTGGTATTGAGCTCCTCAAACAAATCATCAAATTCTGGGTCTATACCTTGTCCCTCCTCGTCTATATTTTCTTCATTTGTATTTTGTTCCGCCATAACATCATCAATTACATCAAACATCTCATTACTTGTGGGTGGGTTTGTTCTTGGAGTCAAATTGTAGCTTAAATCCGAAGAACCGACATGTTTCTCACCGTGATAAATCCACGTAGTATATGTTTCTAGAAACCCAATGTCATGTAAGTGGGCATAAACCGTAGGCAAAACATGTCGATACGAATTCACACACGTTTTACACGGGCAACGCACTTTGCCTTTAGAGTTGACATGTTTCTCAGCAATCTTCATAAAGTTTTAAGACCTTCCAAGTATTTTGAAGACATTCGGTTCTCTCTAATCCAACTCTTATCGATCGTCATCGTTGTTTCACTTTTAAAAATTATATTATATATGTAGTTATCGAAAGTTAGATTGTATTTGTGCTAGATAAATAAATATATACCCGAGAACGGATAGAATATTCACAAGTATATAAAAAAATATATAAAGTAAAAATTAGATTGATTGGATAGAGTATTCACAATGGTTATGAAGAAGAAACTTAAACTAAAAATCAACGATTCAACATGTTTTAATAAGAAAGCCATATTAATTTGATTTTATATTTAATTTAATTTAATTTTAATATTAATATTAATTTGATTTTAAAACTAATTTAATTTAATTTTAATTAATTCACTTTTACTTCATAATTATTTTAAAATTACTAAAAGTATGTTGCTATTAATAACCTAATTAAACTAAAGCCATAATGACCAACATTAAGTCACTAACAAAATTAAACACTTTGAAACCATATTAAACACTTTACAATACAAACAATAGCATCTAATTACATCAAATAACTCAAGATAATACTTTTTAAGGTAATGTTTCTAACTTAACATAATGTATACATGAAGTTTGTTTGATAGTTCTATAAGGTTGCACATAAACTCAAATTGTAAAGATCTTATAGCCTTCTATCATAACTTTTACTTGTAGATAAGTAAAATATATAAGATGTATGCACATAGAAATCAAAATGGGCCAATATATAACATTGTATGGACTTAGAAAGCAAAAAAGCAAAATGTGGCCTTATACCTTGTTTTCACATATTTAACATTTAGACATTTAAAATTTATGCAACATTATGGTGCATAAACAAATGCATATACATATCATGGTTTATTGAAAAAAAAATCATCACTGTGGTAGTTAACAGAAAAAAGAAATCAATATACTAACCTCAAAATCGGTATTAAAGATTGGTTAATCACTGGAAATCCTTTTCTATGGAGCACTTGAAGCTTTTGCTGGCCAGTAGATAATTAATGGGGCTTAGATTTAGGGCTCCAAATTATTACAAATCAAGCACTAAGTTATTACAAATTAAGAAGCAATGAAGGACCAAAGCAGTTACCTTTATGGTGGCCGATGAACTCGAGTGCTAACACCCTGCGATCACTGACGAGCTTGAGAGAAAAATGGAGTAAGTCTCGACTGCAAACAGAATGCTGAAAGGGGTTTTTGTTACAGGAAAACACTATACAGACGACATGTCGTCTGTATAGGTACCCCAATACGTCGTCGTTTCGCTTCACGTGATTAATAAATAAAAGAAAATAAAAAAAAAGATTTCGCGCGGATCCGTCTCACCTTTCCAGACGACATGTCGTCTCTATAGCATAAGAAACGACATCGTTTTCTAGTTTCTGTAACAAGGATAATAAATAAATCGAAATTAATATTAAATCACCCTATACCGACGACATGTCGTCAGCATAGGATGACAAAAATGGTGGCGTTTTGACTTCCTGCTACAAGGAATTAAAATAAATCGAAATTATTATTTTAGAGACTTTTCCAGACGACATTTCATCTGTAAATATTTTCGATATACTGCCAAGAATTTCACGTTTCCCGCCGAGTTTATACAGACGACTTGTCGTCTCTATAGCTCTTCTGGTTAAAGGCAGGGAGTCAACGTTTGAAAACCATGTACGGATGACATGTCGTCTGCATAGGTCGACTTTTGCCGACGACATGTGTCATCTAGATAGGAGTCGTCTGCATAGCACAAGATTCTTGTAGTGTTTATGTTTGAAGAAAATAAAAGAAAAATAAAGCAAGGAGCAAGGAATTCGATCTTATGTTTAAAATATAGGTAATATGAACTTACCATTGAAGTCAAGACTAATCTACTTGTTTATTAGTAATTTTAATACATTAATTCTGTATATGCATAACGATTTAGTCGAACATACACGTTTGAGTGACCGGGTTTCAAAAATATGAAGCTGACCAGATTGTGTCGATTTGACGTTTACTCAGTTTGAACCAAACGGTGTTGTTAAATATAAATTAATTGTCTTGATTATTCTTTGAATATGGTAAAACCAAGGTTACAAATAGCGCTCGTCGGACGTTCAGTGGTCGACTGGTGCCAAGCGATTAGTCAGTGTTGGCATCGATTAATAGGGGATTAATCGGAAAACTTTAATTATTATTATTATTATTATTATTATTAGATGTAAATATCCATAAAAAAGGTCATAATATACTATTTAAACATTCAAGAAATAAGCCATTATATTACAAGTCCATAAGAAGTTTTATAATCCAAAAAAAACACATTTTCATATATTTAAATGTTCATCTTCTAATCTCCTCCGACTTCTTCCAATATTTGAACTCCATCCGATTCGTATTCACCTTCTTCAAACACTTGTTCCTTATTCCCGGGCTTGAAGTCTTCATCAAAAAGTTCTCTAGTTGTTGAATTTTGACGGGGTGCTTGATTATCATTAGTCCCGAGAGTTTTGTCATTCGATGCCGTAATCGATTCAGGGTCAACTTCATCTACATCATGATCATTACAATCAACAATCCATTCTTGAGCCGAGTAAGAATCATTTGCTAAAAGCACTTCCAAAGTTCTGACTTTTCCACACAAGTTACATTTACTTTATCCAACTTATTTTTATCCGGGCAAAAACCATATTCCCAACCAATATCATCCGAATTCCATTTATGAGCTGTGGTGACTGTAGATTCCACCGATGGTGAAGTAGAATTTTTAGATGTCATTGGTTAATCCACAACTGTTATATATAGAAAAATAACATAGAATTCAATTTTTAAACAATAATAGTGAAGTAAAATATGCTTCCTGTTCAAAATACCAATCATCATGTTCATAGTTCAAAATATAATTGAAGTAGACATGAAACATTTGTTAATTGAATTCCTATCTTTATTTTTAAGATATATAAAAATTGGACGTTATATCTTAACACAAACCACCACTTGCATTTCACTATTTTTTTTAAAACTAGTTATACATAATTCTTCTTTTCATATCCTCGAAGGGACAGTAATCCAAAAAGTCGCACATATATACCATATACAAAAATTATTTAAATGCTTCATGGAGCTAGTTTATTTAATAACGAAGCTGATTGTAACATATAAACTTTATTATTTTCAATACTAAATGAGCCACTTCTTTGAAATTATAAACTTTATTATTTTTTTCATGGTGGACCTAACCAAGAAGGCAGTAACCAATGATTTTAGGAAGCAGTGGATCCATAATTATTTTTTCAATAAACTAAGGTAGATATTTGGACACGTTAACGGGGTGGTGTGAAACATATAGAATTCGTAGATAAATACATTGTAAAGAAAATTTCTTTGGCTTATGAGTTGCGTCGTCGTAAGCATCATAGAGCAAAACACACAGTGTAATAGGTTACATACCTGAGTTGCGTTTCTGTCCTCTGTGTCAACGTCAGTTGGTATCGCCAGCGATGCCAATGTCGGAATGAGTTGCCAATGAAGCAACGATAAAATTGAGCCCTCGTCAATGTTGCGTACAGAACAATGTTTTAAAAACCGGTTTGAACCGGCCGGTCGAACCGGTTGGACCGGGAACTGGGAGAGGGAGCGGTTCAACTATCACCAGTTTTACATTGATTTCTGAACCGGATTGAATCGGCTGGTTTTTAGAGAAACCCGGTTTAATCGGTTAACATAAACCGATTAAACCTAATAAAACCACATGAAAAATAACCATTTACATAATAAAGTTTAGTGATTTTTTTTCAAATCTATTAAGTTTTCTTTGAATAAAAATATATGGTAAATTTTATAAATTTTTTTGATGTCTTTGTATTCATATAAAACTATATGTTGTTTCGGTATTATACTTTATTTTCTTTGACATATATGTATTGATGTAAAACACTAAAATTTATGATTATGTGTTATTTTAACGTATTTGGATTTATTTACAACTTATTTTTATATGTATTATTAATGTTTCAACTTGTAAAATCAAATACATAATTTATATATGTATGTATGTGTAGGAAAATAGAAAAAAAACATGAAAAATATAGAAACCGGTTCACCCGGCGGTCGAACCGGTTGAACCGGGAATCCATCACCATATCGGTTAAACTAATAAACCGGTTTTTAAAACATTGGTACAGAGAAACAAAAAGCGAATGAATGAAATATTAGGGCCATGATTTGATTTTGGAGCCTTTTTTTTAGTTTTGACCAGCCATTGACTTTTTTTTTTTTTTTTTTTTTTAATTCGTTGACAATTGTTGACCGATTAGGCCGATTAGCCCGCTAAGAACGGTATTGACCGATATTGATGCAAAGCGATTAATATGACCATCAAGTTCTAATCGTAACGGGCACGAGGCCGCCAAACGATTAATCGGCTGCCAATCCCAATTTCTGCAACATTGGGGAAAAAATCTTGTGCATCGATCAAGATCATTTTCATAAATAAATAAGTTTGATGGGTCAAGTCGGTAATTCTAGATTATAAAGAGAGTAAATAAGTGTGATGGGTCAAGTCGGTAATTCTAGATTATAAAGAGTTAAAACTAAATTAATATAATTTCTATAACATATAATAACGTTGAAAGTTTTGTGATTATATATGAATTGTGAAAGAAATTTGCATGCAAAAGTAAAACTACCAGGCCCGAAAAGCCATGTACAAAGCCCAACTAAATGGTTCAGCCCTTATATATAAATAGCAAGATTGAAATACCAAATGAATGCCATTATATAAATACCAAAAGTGAAATAAATTTTACAGCCAAACTAAAATAAAAACATTTTAGTAAATACCAAAAATAAATTTTACAGCCAAACTAACTCAAGGTTATTAAATAAAAACATACAAAAATTCATCTAAAATAATGTCTTTTTTAAGTAAAAACATCTCTTACTTTATGATAATCAAGACTTTATAGAAAATGACTTTCGATACTCAAAATTGATAATTTGTTTAATTTTTCTTGAGTCATGGTGCTTTGAAGATATGATTTTAATAACTTTAATTTCGAAAAATTTCTTTCTGTAGAAGCAACTATAACCGTTACCATCAATAAAACTTTACATGCTACCAATACATTGGGATAAATGTCCATTTTCTTTGCGAACTCTATAATTTGAATAATTATACAATGAAGCTCACCTTTGTATGTTTCATCCGACAACATTACCAGCAAAATTTAAAATTTAATAAACAAATATCTTCCATCAATATCAAGTTCGATCACCATTTTTCAAACTAGTTTCAAGTTTCATACAATAATATTTTAATTCATTATCAAGTAAAGATTTTAACTTTGAACCATCAAACAAAAATCCAAAAATAGATTCAACATGTTGTAGATGCTCCATTCTAATTTTCAATTGAGTAAACGTCATATCCACTAATAATAAAATAATCCGTTTTAAAAAAAATTTAGAAGATTGATCACTTCTAATGTTTGAAACTTCATTAAATTATTTTTCTACAATAAATACATTAAATAGGAAATTCAGGTTGAACTTTAATATTATATTATGTTTGTTTACCATTATTAATAACGAAATTAAATCCACTTTCCCTATCATTACAAAAAATCATCCCTTTAAATTTTTTATTGCAATATCAAGAATCGATTATTTGGATTGTAACTTTTACCTTACAAAATATGGTATTTCTTATATTTCTAAACCACCATTGAAGATTGATATTTGATCACTTCGTCTTCTTCAACAAACAATTATTAGGTGTGCGATGTTAGAGAGATTAAGAGTCATGTGCCGTACCTTCCATATGGACTTCAAATTGTTGCACGTTTAGGTTGTTGAAGCTTGAAGCTTCACTGCCTGCCCCTTCATTTGGATTGGACTTGTTTATAGTTAGTGGATCAAGAGTTTAAATGGTCCAAAATAACATATACCTATAATAGACCTATAAAAAAGATTCACCATAAGAATTTGCTCCCTTGGGTCGTGGCCCAACTCGCATAGGGTTTGGGTCGGTCCTATGACCGTTTAAGAAAAAGTGGTTTAAAAAACATGTATTTTTGTCACTTTTGCTAAATCTTGATGAACTTGATTTTGGTTTCAACCATCCAAGATCGTTGATTTGGAAAAACTGTCATTTTTCTACTTCTAATGTAGAAAAGTGTTTCTTGGGCATTTGTGATTGTAGAAGGAATGAAATTGGTCTTCAAAGACCTCCAGAACCTTTTATTAAAAATAATTTGAAAAAAATGATTGATGTGACAAATCCTACTATATAAAAACAAGTTTTGTAAGGTATGAAAACCGCTTTTCTATCTAGTTCCTATGGTCCAAATGTCAAACACATCCCAAACCATAGGTTCTATTTAAATCGAATTGGTTTCGCAAAAATCAGTTTCTAATTCAATTTGATCGGTTTGAATATCATTTTTTTTTCTCATAAACACTGTTATTTTGCAATGATTTTCGTGACGTGGTATTGTATGGTTCAGAATCAAAACTGCAAACCGCACCACATACATGGTTTGAGTTTTTCAGAAACCACAAACCACACCATGAAAGAACTGATCTGCACTATGCATAAGAATATGTATATATGTGTGTGTATGTGCATATATATATATATATATATATATATATATATATATATATATATATATATATATATATATACTTGGGTTGTGGTGACTTGGTAAGGCATGTGGAAGATATGGTGGATAACCTATTGACCCATGTTCAAATCCTGGCACCACTCAGCCCTTGTGGCCATGGAGGTTCGCCTGCAGTGACTCCAGGGCATGAAGCAAAGCTTTATGTTTGCAGCGGGGGATTGGTCGGTGCGCGAAAGCTGGCCCGGAAACCCTCGTTAGGGAAGATCCCTTTCCAAAAAAAAAAAAAAAAAACAATTAAATAATAATTTCATAAAAAAAATAAACAAAAAGATTTTTAGTATTGTTATTATGTTGAATTAAATTATATGAGATAAGGTTAGAACTTGAAGTTGTTTTGCATATACAAAGTTATATGATTAAAATAAAAAAAAAATTAATTTTTAAAAATAAATAAATCGTTATTGTTATTTATTAAATAATAATTTCATATTAAATTAAAATGTTTATATTAAATATTATCATTATGTAGAAAATACGATATAGAGACATCTTTTTATCTATATTAAATTTTATCATTTTGTACAACATATGATAATAGAGACAACTTTTTATCTTAAATAGTAAAAAAAAAATGTTTTGTATCATAAATATTACCATAATTATGTAGAACATATGATAATAGTGATGTCTTTTATAAGGTTAAAACTTTAAATTGTATTACATACATGGTTGTAAAACTTGGCTAACACAACCAAATACTCGACATGTTACTTAAACTCGGCCTCCAATCGAAGCGAGTTTGCATACCTCAGCTAGAAGACACTCGGATCCTTATTAAACTCGATCCAAATCTTAAAGATACGGTCCAAAATCATTTTCAAAATTCTGAAATTTAATTGGTCACTTGTCGACAAAGACAATCTCACCAAAGAGTACACTCAACGTCCTACAAAGTTAGATGCAATCAAGATCTCATGACTTAGTTCCTTTGAAATATTTCACAATCTTTCCTATTTATAAAGGAGAATACATTCTCTTGTTTACTCTCACGATGAATGTGGGATAAAGACATTTTAATTAAACTCATTTCTTTATTTGCTAATAATTTCATTTTGTTAAATAAAATATTAAATAATAAAAATAAAACGTTAT